CACCATAGAGCATTACAGATCTCACCACCATCTTAAAATTTTTCCTTTCAATTTAGGTGGTACATTTCTATCACACTATATAGGCCCGACGCATTCCTCCACTTCAACCAACCAACTTGAATTCTACTAATAACATCCCTATCTATATCGCCACCACTTTAAACAATAGACCCGAGATATCTAAAACTTTCAAACCTTTTAATAATTTGATTACCCATAGTTACAACTCTGTCACTAGAGCTACTACTGCTAAAATTAGATTCCATGTATTCAGTGTTAGTTCTACTCAAACGAAGGCCTTTAAACTCTAATGTAGACCACCATAATTCAAGTTTTTACTGAGCTTTTTCTCTTGTCTTATCTGCGAGAAGGATATCATCAGCAAAAAGCATACACCAAGGTACATCCTCCTGTAAGTGTCCAGTAAGACTATCCATAACTAAAGTAAAGAGGTATAGGCATAAAGCCGATCCCTGATGTAAACCAACAGAAATAGGAAAATATTTGGCCAATCCTCCTTCTGTTCGAACAAAAGTAACAGTTCTTGTATACATATCTTTAATGACTTGAATATAAGTCATAAAAACACATTTCTTCTCAAGAATTCTCCAAAAGATATCACTTGGAATCTTATCATAAGTTTTTTTTAAATCAATAAAAATCATATGCAAATCCTCTTTATTATCTTTGAACTTCTCCATCAAACCTCTCAATAAATGTATAGCTTCCATGGTAAACTTGCCCGACATAAATCCAAATTGATTATGAGAAATCTTTGTAATACATCTTAACATATGTTCAATTACCATCTCTCATAATTTTAAAGTATGTCACATCAACTTAATTCCTCCATAATTGGCACACTCTTGTGTATCCCCTTTATTCTTAAAAATGAAAACCAAAATACTTTTTCTCCACTCCTCAGGCATAATTTTTGTTTTCAAAATAATATTAAGGAGTTTAATAAGCCAAGAAACTCTCAAATCTCCTAAATATTTCCACACTTCAACTGGGATATCATCAGGTCCTACAGATTTTCCATCATTGGTTTTCTTTAAAGCCTCATCAACTTCTTTTTTACTAATGCGACGATAAAAATAAAGCATATTAGTATTATTAACAATATTAAGATCACTAAGGTCGATCGTATTTTCTGAAACTTCATTAAAAAGCTTATCAAAATAACTAATCCACCTATTTTGAATATTTTTTTCTAAGAAAAACACTTTTTGATTTTCATCTTTAATACAATTTACTTGAGTTAAATCTTTACTTTTATTTTTGTTTGGCTAATTTATACATATATTTTTTTACGTTCCTTAGTATCTAATATATTATAAAGATCACTAAAAGTAAAATTTTTAGCGTCACAGATTGTTATCTTAAGACTCTCTACAGGTGGTTTGATGTTTTTTCTAGTTTTATAAGTTTTTACATTTAATTTTACATTTAAACCAATTTTTATTTAAACCAATTTTTATAACAAACCTTCTTATATTTTATCTTTTCTTGCACATTATTATTCCACCATCAACTATTTTTATTTATAGAAACTTTATCTTTTGATTCTCCAGTACAACTTTTGTCATTTGTTTAATATTTTTTGTTACTTTATCTCACATAAAATTTGTTTATTAATGAACATTCCAAATTTTGAAATCTTGAATTTTATTCATAAAAATAATTTATTTGTGTCTTTTAGGTTACCCCATCAATTCTACGACAATGATTCCTAGTATTTTTTATTTTACAACTCTTTATCTTAAAATCTAGAACTAACAATCGACGTTGAGTACTTAAATCCTCACTTGGAATGACCTTACAATCTTTACAGTATCGACGATCTCTTCTTCTCATAAGAAAATAATCAATTTGTGTTTTATTAGCTTCATTCTTATAAGCAATAATATGTTCATCTCTTTTATTGAATAAAATATTAGCAATAACAAAATCATACGCTAAAGCAAAATCCAATATAGCTCTACCTTCATTAATCACTATAAAATTGCAGCCACCATGAATATTTCTAAAATCTTCAACCACTCTACAGGCAGCTATTTAAATCTCCTTCAATAAAAATTATTTCTTTAAGAGGAACCATTTGTATTAAGTCTTCTAAGTCATTTAAGAATTTAACTTTAGAACCTACATCTAAACCTACATGAAGAGCATAAGCATTTAAAATATTAAAAATCTAAGTATCAACAATAATCTTATGGGTTATAATTCTATCTCTAACTCTATTAATTTTTACAATATTATCTTCCAAACCCTTATTTATAATTACACCCACCCCATTTCTAATGTGACTCTTACGCGAACACCAAAGTTTAAAACCTAAGTTATCAATCTCATTAGTCTTTTCTCCAACCCATTTAGTTTCTTGAACACATAAGAAATTTATCTTACTATGAATCATAATATCAACTAATTCCATTAATTTACCAGTAAGAGTACCTATATTCTGGATTCTCATCCTAATATTAGTTTCATGAACTAACTTATTTACATGCATTCGTCCGTAATGTAGAAACTTTTGCTTAGTTGACACTACACCCAAGCGCCGGTATAGCGGCCCTTGCACACTTTTCATTGTATTCAAACCATACATTGTGTCGCTTCCAGAGGACGCCCTAGCACTTACACAATGATCAAAGGAATACATGTCATTATTTTTTTGACAGGTTTTACGCTGGTTGTCGACGACCTAACGCAACTCTCCATTTTTCACATCTGAGCTTGGGACTACTAATATTAAATTTTAATTTTTTTAGATAACAAATACTTATTTAAAAAAGTAGCATACCAATTTTAAATATTTGGCCCTCCTATATCCCTTCTCCGGAAAACCCTCTCGCCAAGTTATTGTAGCGAGAGGAGCGTGAAATCGAGGCCGAACCTCTCGATGTGCAGTTGTTGCTTCCCAATATCTGGGCCGAAACAGAGAAAGAAAAAGGGAAAGATAAGGAAGAAAATAAAGAAGATTTGGGGAGAAATTGGTAATTGAGATAAAAAATGCCATATTTGTCGTTCTTTCTCCTATCATTGCCTTTGTCGCATCTTGGTTGTTGTAGCCGGGAGAGAAGCCCTGATTTGAGTGCAGTTAGTGTGATTGAATGCTAATTTTGCCGTCGATTCAACTGTGAGATGAATTTTAGAGGAAAATTTTGATAATTAAGCAAAATATTTGATTGTCATATTATTGAACAAATACAGTTATATTGTAATGCAGCATATTAAGTCATTTTCCTGTGGGAAGTAAGATAAGATTTAGAGAATATGGAGAGAATAGGTTCATATCACGAAAAACATAATCAAGCTAATTACCAATTGAGAATTTAAATGTATTAGTTTGCATTTAAATTAAGAATTCATAAAATTTTAAGGGAGAATTATAATTCTAAGTAGTTTAATCTAAATGGCAAGCTCGAGGAAAGCCTGGGGAAACCCATCACGAAGTTGTTCATCAACCTAGGTGAGATAATGTGCTAAATTAAGAAGAACGTCTTTATATATGATTATTATAAGATAAAATGATATGAAACTACCTATAGAAATTTCTGCATATTATTGAATACATGTATATGTTACAGAAAAATAAATTTGAGCTGACACTATTGAGATTACTAGTGATACTGATCTTATTAAATTGATAGATATATTTATTAAAGCAATTGTTTGTAGGAATACTCATATAATAGCATATGCATATGAAATTTATCTTTAACAAGCATAATAATTAAAGAAATATCACAAGTGTTGTGATAGGAAACTTTTATACTAACGATATACGCACATAAAAATGACAGGAAAATTTATAAAATGCTCGACTCATGATATTTAGATCGAAACAGGCTTATTGGCATAAGAGGATTTGTTGAAAATCCTCATGTAGCGAGGTGAAAAACTTTTATCAACATTTGTGTAGCCAGCTAGCTAGGTGAAACAAAGAAAAAAATCAATTCAAAGCTTATACAAATACAAGTGACATTCCTAAGACAACATATATTGAATATGAACAATTAAAAACACACACATAATTATGTAAGAAATGAATATAATCCATGTTTATAAAAATTTTTACTACTTACTATTTTTATACCTTTATTTATATATACTTCATTTGATTAGAACTAGTTTGTTATTTACAATTGTCACTCATATGAGCCATAGTAGAGTACGCACGTTGCTTTTTTTCGTCTGCAAAATCTTACTTTAGCGTTGATTTTTTAATTATTATTGTAGCTCAATCTTATATATTGTTAATTTTCAAGGAGGGGTAAGAAGTTTATATGTTTTCGTGAAATTATTATGCAGCTTCCAAGCATTTATGAACGTGAATGAATTTTGAATTTAATAGGATTGTGAATGTTTACGACGATTGAGTAAAACAAATTCTCACAAATGGAATCATGATTTATGCAAGTTGGATCTAGTATTGGAGGCAATTATGTTTAACTAAATCATCCATTTCTTTTGCACTCCTGTTTGACCGTAAGGAGGGGTAGAGGGAGGGGGGCGAGGGGAGATATGATCTTCTGATCAAGAACAAGACACAAAAACAATTTGCTCATGAATCAAACAAAATCATTTTTTTTATAGAAGCTTCACCTACAACATCTACGAGGTTTTCCGAATGCCACTCCAGTTGAAATGCTTTCAGCAAATTACAAAAAAACATCAACAGAGAATGTAATAAACGAAGCACAAACGCAGGATAATATGGTTGGCAGAAAAAGTAAGCTATTTTGAATTTAAATAACATCGATCAAGAATACTGTCCCAATATCAAAATTCAGAATTTTAATATTTCAGGAACAAAGGCTGAAATATCAAGTGATCAAACAACAAAATGGGCGACATCACAATCATGATCTTTTTTTGTAAAACGTTTCTAATTTATCTGGGTCCGCTCTACCGCAGAAGTAAAGCAAGAAATTGCTATTTAAAATTAAAAAAAAAAAAAAAAAAAAAACTTAGCCATAGTATGGAGGAGTTACCTGCAACGTCGAGGCCAGCTTGGAGATGGGAAGTATTTTGAAAAGCGCGATCGATGGCTTGGATGCTGGAAAAGAAAAGAGCGTTTGATTTCGCGCTAGGGTTCTTCCTGCAGCCGGAACGCAGAGATTTGTCGAAGCACCGTCAATTCCCATGGCATCGCCCAGTTTTGTTGCGCCAGGACAAACACAATCTGCGAAAACCCGGTCCGGTGGCTTATCTTTTCCAGGCCCATATCCCTTATAGTTCAAAAAAAAAAACAAAAAAATACAAATTTCACAAATATATCAACCTTTAAATTTAAGCAAAGAAACACAATAGAATATATTATGCGAAATAATAACATTTATTCATTCCTTTCCGATAAACATATTATGGTTTAGGCTTTTTTAGCCTATTTATTGAGTTTAAAATTTCAATTACTATTAATAAGCTCCATTCGGCTTGGTTTGAGAACGTGTCATACTCCATTCCAATACAAATAGGGCCCACAAAATCGCTCACTGTTTGTTTTCAGATCGTTAAGCCGTTCTGCGTTTTTATTAGGGCTGTCAAACTGGCTCATTGTTCAAGAACAGTTCGTGTTCGGCTCGTTAAGAATCTTGTGTTTGGCTCGTTCGCTAATTTGTCGAGTCCAACACGAATAAAGATTTATTTGTTCGTGTTCGGCTGGTTTTAGCTTGAAATACTAGTCATCAATTATATATATTATATATATATATATATATATAATTTAAAAAAATTAATTAACTACAAGGTTACAAAAATTTATTATCAATTAAAAATATTAATTATAAAAATAGAATAAAAATTATTAAATTAGATTCAAATGATGTTTTAATATAAAGAAAAATTTTTAAACCTTGCCCCAACCCTTAATATCTTTTGGCTATGTGATTAGAGTTGTCAAAACAACTCTTTGTTGGTGAGAAGCTCGTGTTCGGCTCGCTAAGCAAAAGAGTCGAACATAAACACACTTTTTGCGTTCAAAATATAAATGAGTCGAACTCGAGTGAGCCTACTTTTTGCGCTCAAAATATAAATGAGTGGAACACGAGCTTAGCCTAGGCTTGCTCGTGTTTGACTCATTTGCACCCCTAGGTGTTATTAGTGTTATTCCACGGAATAACACTGAGTAACTGACCATACCCGCAATTACGTAAATATTTATGTTCCAGAATATGACAAAAAACTTGACTCAATTTATATTTATTTTTAGGGTAGTTCAACAAATGTAATGTTATAAAATTTAAAGTAATAGTTTTCACACTAAGAGTACTATGCAAGTATACGTACCGTTTCAAATAATATAGAGTTTTCTTTAAAAAAATACACACACACACACATATATATATATATATATATATAGAGAGAGAGAGAGAGAGAGAGAGAGATGCATATAAACACATACTTATCAAAGTAAATGACACATTCCAATAGATAACTTGCACCCATATGTTATGTATTTACAAACCTAACACGTATAATGTACACACAGACATGTATATATGTATATATGTACATATATGTGCTCCCCACACACAAAAAAGTAAAGGGAAATCTATATAGATACTACTTAATTATTATGTATTTAATTATAAAAAACCAAAATTTTATTTTTGAATATGTTTAAAAAAAATTAAGTACACCAATTTCTTTCATTCACATAAATACCACCCAATGCATATAGATTTTCTTATCTTAAAACAAAGATCATCATAACATTTCAATTAGCACTATTCAAAACATCCACATAAACCTAAACCCAAAAGACAAGATTGTGAAAGGATTCAAAAAAAAATGAGGGGGAGATCGGTGAAATGAGGATTACCTCGGATTGCAATGATTCGCTGGAGTCCAACATTAGCCCTGAGGTCATGAGTGTTCAAGAATGCTGCAAATATTGTTGGACGGTTGTTGGAGATGAAGCATTACAATTTCCTCAAAGGAATATTTTGATTAATTTTAATTTAGATATTAAATGTTAATTTCTCGTCTGCTTGTGATGATGCCTACTTACATGAAATTGAATGAAATATTTTTGAATTTCCTGACCTACAAAGCTAACAGGAAGTCAGTTGCACACGTCTAATTATTGCGTGCGGAGAGCGCACGCAGAGGCCATATGATCGGCCCATCCCAATTAAAATTAATTATTCAGTCAATTTTAAATGACTGTTCAATATTAACTAATAATTTAAATGTTTAGATCCATGATCAGTGAAAAATCAAACACTTTTATAATCATAATCATAATGATGATATTAATAAACAAGTATATTACGATGAAAGAGTTAAAGTGTCGAGTCCTCATCTAAGAAAAACAAAGGGCCCTCCTTCCCTGGTGCAACCCTAAAGTGGAGCTACCGTCCAATCAAATATTTACAAGGAAAATATTTATTTTAATTATAAATTTATGGACTTTGTGATGCATTCAAGATTATGGTCAAGATTCGAAATTATAATAACGTATAAAATTGGATTTGGAGTGTATGATTATTTATTTAGAATATTTAGAACAAATACAAGCTTCCAAATTACTGGTCAAGAAGGAAAAGTAATCGGTTCATGGGGAGAGATTAATTATTTTTCATGTCAATATTCTTTACAAAATCTTAAATTTATAATTATGATTTTCATAATCGCAATAAGCTAAGTTTATTTCCAATAGTCCATCCAAACAAGATGCAACACCGCACAAATCAGGGATCGAACAACATCCAGCAAAAACACAGAAGGATCGAAAACGATGATGCATACCAGCGGAAAGTAGGGTTTCGTTAAAAGGGCGACGAGAGGGAGAGCAGAGAGTGGATTTCTTGCCAAATTTCTCAACGACAGCAAGGAAGAAGGCGAGGGCGAGGGAGACCAAAGGGGGGCACGGGGCGTCTTTTTCACCCTAAACGCACGAACTCAACTCAGGACGCGAAGGGAGGAGAGATTATCGCGCTCCGCCTTATGTCGCCAATACCGGGTATGAGCGGTGGGAATACGCTAGAGCGAACGCGTTAACCAAACAGCCGTGCGGCGTTTTCAAAACGCCGCCGCTCCCATTAAGTTGCACCAAATAGACCCTTAGTCTATGGTTAGCGTTAGATGAGGCTAAGTTAATTCGGGTCAGATTTAAACTCATAAAAATTTTTTTAAGAAATTGTTTTGTTTATTGATGACTTGTAAGACGGATGATGACCGGTTTAGTTTGACATCGTTTTGTACGATATGATAATTAAAGATAAACCCTTACGCAAAGATCTAAAATCTAGAAGCATCTACTTTCACACCATCTAATTCTTATGTATTACATATCAATTATCTAACTTTATTTTTATATTTATATCATCCAAAAATTTTGATATTTTATCAAAATTATAATTATTCATAAAAAAATTAATATATCTTTTCATGCATTATAGCATTATAAAAATATTAGATATTTAAATACATAAAAATTGATTGACAAAGACGTAAATCTTTCTAAAATATAATTCGAGGGGGGATACCCACAGAATAGTTTGTTCATACTGAAATCCAACCTTAGAACTGTTTCCATTAGGCGCTTAAAATTTTAAGCAATTACATATAGACCACCCGAACCTTGCCATCTACAAATCAATCGTCGCCTTCTCACAAATTATCAAAATTCATGTTAAAACCCCAACCCATACTTTTCATTTGGTGCTTTATATAAATATCACTTAAAACTTTCGTATTTATCTATCTCATATTAAAATTTTCATAAGTACAAATGTCATATAAAAAACAGCACTAAGTATTACATTTTAATACTCATATCCATTTTCTCATCCATAGATAAAGTGCTATATATGTAAAAATAAAATTTTGGGTGTGAGTAGATAAATCAATAAAAAATGGGTGCTATGTATGTAAATACATCAATTTAGTATCTCAAAAAATCACCTGGATAATAATTTTATAACTATCAATATTTTGGATGATTTTTATGTTATCATCCTTAATACCAGGGGGAGAAAATATTTACAAGTTTAAAATTTTAGATTAATAGGTAAATATTAATCTTACAAATTCACTCTACGCTTGCAGAAAAAGTCATGAATGTTTCGTAGGGGTGTAAACGAGCTGAACACTAGTTAGCCCAGCTCGTTTATATTTCGAGCTCAAAAAGTGTGTTCGTGCTCGGCTCGTTTGCTTAGCGAGCCGAACAGGGAGTCATTTTGACAACCCTAATCACGTAGTGATAAGATTCTCTAATCATGTAGCCATAAGATGTTAATGATTGAGGCAATATTTAAAACATCATTTGAATCTAATTTAATAATTTTTATTTTATTTTCTTCATTCATACTTTTAATACTTTTAATTGATTATAAATCTTTGTAGTCTTGTAGTTAATTAAATTTTTTAAAAATACTATTTATCAAATATATATATAATTGATTAGAAGTATTTTGAGTCAAAATGAGCCGAACACAAATGAAACAAATATTTGTTCATATTATTCATGTTCGACTCGTTAACTTAACGAACGAGCCGAATACGATCTTTTTAAAAAATCGAACACGAACAACGAGCCGTTTGACAGCCCTAATATTCCGTATAAGACCATTTCATAAGAAATGGGGGTGGGTCGCGTCTGAATTCCGTGCACAATACTTTTTCTAACTTTCCTCCCCACCCATCAACGCCTGCGAGGCCCAGCTTGGAAGCACGCAGCCGACACTCTCTCCATCAATATTTTCTGACCATTTAATGCTGCAGCGATCTCAGTCCGCACTGTGCGCCCGTCAATGTCCTTCTTAATTAGTGTCGCTAATTAATGAGTTGGACCGCATTATACAAATCATTGAGACTATGACCCTTATAGAACTCTGAATTTAGCTCCAATATTATTAATCATTCAAAAATTAATTTAAATTTTGGATTGAAAAAAAAAAATAATTGAAATAAAAGAGCTAATTTTGAGCTCATCTCAATTTAACTCGAAATCAGATCGTTAACAATTCTAATAATATTAGGATCATGAATTCAACAAATTTAGATCGCTCAAAAAATATTTTGAATTTTGACTCGGATTGAGATCTAATCAAAATAAAGAACTCAGCTCATAAATTTTGGATAAAATTTTTTTTGAGCCTATTTTGAGCTAATCTCTGCTCACAGTTGGATCCCAATCAACCCTAAAATCTTGTAAATTTTTTAAAATTTAATTAAATCATACTTACGGCTGTCAAAAAAGCT